CTTTCTTCCAGAGGTCAGTTAAACATACGGAATGCAGTGCTTAAAAAATAGAACCTGATTTGCATATTATTAAAAAATTTGCAAGTACCTTTGTTTGATCATTAAATGATATATTAATTAAATAATATATTATATATGATAAAATAATTGACACTATGATTAATTCAAAACTAAATGGGAGAAATATCTATCTCCAGGAACACAAACAGTAATATTAATTGCATTGTTCAAAGCACAGAATTTGAACAGACAGATAAATCAGAAATAGACTGCAGTGGGAATATCAGAATATCTTACAATTAAAATACACACATAAAAGTTACCATAAATACTTTAAACATTGTACTATAAAATGCACCACTAATTCCGCTGGCCATATATATTTACATCTGTAGTACTCGATCTAGCTGTACATGTATCTGTTGTAGTTCAGTTTTATCCTTGGTTCAAATTTTATTTTCCTTTGTTTCAAACTCATTATCATACATTAACATGACCGAGAACAAAGGAAAATAGAATTTGAACCAAGTATAGAATTGAACTACAACAAAAATTATACATCCATGCATCTCTGCTCGAATGGGGCGACATCATAAAAGCTGCACATCTTAGCAAAAAATGCTTTCAGCAAGAGGTTCAGTCCTGTTCTTCGTTACGAAAACCTCGCAGCAATATTACAGAGCACACTTTTCAATTCTTCTTTGTTTATTTCTTCGCTAAGATTCAGAAAGTTAAAAAATTCTTCCAAGGTAAATTACAAAAGACACCGAACAAAACGCGGATCAATAGAAGCGTGACTGCAGACACTAACTCCAGCGGATTACCGCCTCTAAATGATAGCGTTATGTTTACGCGCATGACTAGAAGCTCATTTGGCGCCCCGCTTAAATGTTGTAACCGCCATTGATTGCAAGCCGTAAGTTTTACTTTTTGACAAAAATTCTCGGTTTTCTGGTTACAAAGATAACAAAAATTTTCTGGACAAAAGAAGGAATTGTCATGTAGTGTTATGGTTGAGACTTGGAACAGCCTATGGATTAAACAACTGAGCCTTCGTATCAGTGTGATTACGATCGTTATTGTTCACAAAGCAAGTGAATTCAAACGTGGTGGCATTTGGTGGGTACAACATGTGTTTCTCCAAAGGTTTCTAGCTGTTAAACTTCAATTGAAAGTAGGATCTTTTAAACCAAAATTTGGAGTACAATCGTATGTGCTAAAAGTGCGTTCTAGCCAGTAATTATACCAATTTTAAACCTTGTTTACAGTGGTGTCCGGACAACTCACCCCCTGGACAATTAGCCCCAGACGATTAGCCCCCTGTCTCTGGACTATTAGCCCCCTGTCTCTGGATTATTAGTCCCCAACCCACCATCTTTGAAGTGAACTATGCTCTTGCTGTTTACTTTACGAACGTTTCCCTATCATGTATTTTGAAATAAACAATGTGCTTGTTATTTGCTTCTTACGAACGTTTCTCTGCCGTGCGTGTCAAATTATTAAGTATATTTTACAAAAGTGAACTGTGTTCCTTCTGTTTACATATTTTACGAATGTTTCTTCGTCATGTTGTTTATTTCGAGAACTTAAATAAGAAAGGAAAGAAACCAGGAATGAAACTTCGAAATTTTAACTTATTGGCGACTACTTGTTAATGTCAATGGGGGTTATTTCAAACTCGCCACGCGCATTGTGCGAACTTTTACTATTTTTTATTTATTTGTTTATTGAAAACCCACGCGCAATGTGCGAATGTTTACTCATTCTTGTTTGCTTATTTCAAACCCATGCGCAAGGTGCGAAATTTTATTCTTTGTTGTTTATTTCAAACCCACACACAACGTGCAAACTTATGTAAATTTGACGTGAGACATTTCATTCATCCCAATTCAGTGCTCATTGTTTTCTGAAATTAACGATTTCTCCAATCAAATGGCGTGTTTGGTTCGAAGTCAAAATATTGATCCTTGGGATGTGTCTAAAAGGGATCCTTCAATTGTGGATACTCATATTAGCTTATTCAGCAACAACTGATCACAGCTGCCCCTGTACATCCTGATCCAGGTACTTCATCGGGAAGCTACATTGGTCAACATGCAGATCCGTCTGGTTTCAGACAAAAAGCTGAAGAGACATCAGCGGTCAACCTAACGAACAATGTAGATAAGACTCTTCGACCTCTGGATTCAATATGAAGACGGCCAAAGGAACTCAAAAAACTTCTGGAGGCCTGTGATCACCTCGTGCAACCCATGTAAATTAAATTAAGTAAAAATTGAGTAAATTTTGATAAAGATAACCATTCACAAAAAAAAACCTCCTTTAGGAGCCACAAACTCATAAAAGTCAATGACAAAAAAATTAACGTAACTTCTCTTTTACATTAGCTTAGACTGGGGGCTAATCGTCCAAAAACTGGGGGCTAATCGTCTGGGGCTAATTGTCCAGGGGGCGAGTTGTTTGACATTTGAAACAGCACAGGCTTTACCATCTTAAATAACAACAACAACAACAGCATTTATTTAAACACGATAAAAAAATTCAGCAAAAGCTGATGTGGTTGTGTACAAACAATAAAACTAAATTCCCATATAATTACAAGAAGACTTCTACATATTTACAACAATAAAAATTCTACATAGTACATCATTATAATATACGTGGCTTAAAAGTACACTTGAGTGACTTTTTAAAAGTGTCAACGTCTTGAATTGATCTCATTTGATTTTCCAGAGCGTTCCACCGAGTAATTGACTTGTATGAGCATGATTTCTTGACCATATTGGTCTTAGGTCTAGATAACTTAAATGTCATTTTCCTCCTGAGGTAGCAACTACTTACATTTTAAAGTGACAGTTCATAGGACATGGTAAAAGATGATAATAAGCCTGATGCGCTAAGATTCGTAATCGTTTCTCATACATAATCTCTAAGGTATTCCATTTTACTGTGGCAAGAACCTCCTTGCTTGGAGTACATCAATCCAAGTTAAATATTATTTTTCGCCACTCTAACATGTGTAGATTCTAAGGTTGAGAAAAACACTCGACCACAAGAGTCCTAAACTAACATACAATATGTCACAGGCGGCAGAATAACCTTAAAATGGAAATCAGTTCTTGCCTGTTTAGGCAGGAAATACAAGGATTTTAAGTAAATTCAACTTCTGCGTATATGACTTCGCTAATTCCGATACATGCTGATCCCCTTGAAGAGCCTATTATGAGCATACATGATGATCTCATTTAATATCTGTGGTTTTGCATTTCTATGGTAATGGGTTCCTGTGGCATTTACATAGCTGTTACGAATGTAGTTCAAATATATTGCCTCTAGAATCTGTCCCTAGTAGTCAGTCTTCAAAAAAATCAGGTCAGAATAAAGATTAATAGTTCATTACTTGTTTGGAAGCATTTTGTCTGCCAGGAAGCCACAAAATCGCTCGTTTGGGGCTTTCAAAGTTCGGCGGTTAATTTGCTTGCTCTCTATAGTGAAGAAATGTGACAAGGCAGGCAGCTCAGGCATCCAGATCGCACACCACCTCGCATTCGAGACAAAAATGTTTTACCTTCTAGTTCTTATTTTCCCATTGAAATTCAACAGGTCACAGAATAATTATCCAGCTGTTACGGTGACTCGGTTTTGAATCAATCCATTCAACGGTTTACAAGAAAATGGAACGCAAAGTTGTAGATTTGGAGCTCTTCTAGGGATCTGAACATGAGGGGTACTCAAAGGAATTCCAAACATGCATTTTGGTTATCGAATTTCAGACCCAGCCACCCTACCCGAGGTACAAAAATCTGAAAAATGTGAAAAATTGTAGCCCCTATCGGGGCCCCAAAGGCGCTACTTTGTACTTCCAGCAGATGTCATAAGCCAAGATCCACCAATAAGAATCAAGAAAGTTTTTGTCAACATTCTCAGGAAAACCCATTGAGTGTTAGATACAATAACCGAAACGCATGTTTGGATGTTCAAAATTCCCATCTGGCATCCTTCCAGTAGACTGGAGAGTTGATATCCACTAAAATTGGTAGGATCTTACTCAAGAGAGTCAAAGGATCCCAGATGCTACTGACAAGGTCCCATGTGGAGGTTCCATAGATGAGGGTGGGACTCCCTCCAGCGGGGATCCTGCCTATTCAGGCGCCAGGATCCCACATGAGATTGACAGAATCCCAACTGGGATCCCATCTGGAAGGTTTCATTATCCTGAGCAGGATCCCAGTTGGGAGAGACTCAGGATCCCACATGGGATTGACAGAATCCCACCAGGGGGATTCCATTATCCTAGATGGGATACCGGTCGGGAGAAATGCAGGATCCCACTTGGGCTTCCACCCGGGACGCTTCATAATCCCGGCCAGTAGAAACCCAGGATCCCACCCGGGATCCCACCCCAGACGTTACATAATCCCAGGCTGGATCCCAGCCAGGATCCCGTCCAAAATAGGCGGGTTTCCAGCTGGGAGAACCCGGGATCCCACCTTATGTTTTTACAGGTGAATTGTTTATAAATGAGGTGCATATTGTTGTTTTTTTTTCTTTTATTTCCAATGACGTGTTACAACCAACTCACAGAATAGACTAGATTCCCATATTTTGCCAAGCTGAATGTGTTGGTCTTTGTGCAGTACAGTAAAAGTGATTGCATTTGTGACCTGTGAGAATTAAAATGATTTCTCAGGTGCACCCTGCTTGGTCAAGGAATGCATCATATCTCACTATAATCGCCAAAATAATGATATTAAGTTTTTGCAGAGTGAATGAGATGAACCTGTTAACACTGCTTGCTTATCCTACTACAAGTAATGAATAGAGTTGTAACAAAATACACCCAGTTTTTTCTTCATTTACAGTATTTACATCAGAAGTCAAAATCTCTTGAGCTGAAGTGAATTATACTAAAACAGTTATTGGCCTCAAGCTCAGTGAGCATTGTTACTCCCCTTGGGCTGTTGAGAAAGAGTACTTAAGACATGTTTGTTAATTTTCAGGATACCTTTGAAAGACACGAGGGACATCTTTAATGATTGAAGAGGGTCTTTAGATTTTATGGAGTGGATACAAAAGTGTTGGTATTGGGGATAAAAATCTGAAACCTTTGACTGAAAAAAGATTGGTATGTTTACTGCATGTAAAATTTTTTAAAACTCATTTGTTTTGTAACTGTTATAATTACTCCTGACAGACTGTGTTCAATGTTCAAGAGCATTCCACTTGGTTTGAACTGACTGATTGATATTAAGTAATTCCCAATTATTTATGCACTGAACAAAAAATCATACATATTCAAAAAGTTCTCTCAAGCAGCCTTTGTAACGCCTTCCCATTCGTTTAGTGTTGTGTGATGCATCCTGTCATTCCTTTCATACGGGACCTTAAGATAAGTTCCCTCGTGGAGAAAAGCAAAAAAAACCTTTTTGCTAGAACGGGTGTTTTTGTGGTTTCGTTAACGAGCTAGTCAAGTTTCACTTGAAACCCCTTCATAGGCATGTTCCATGACAGTCTTCGGCAGTCATCGGGATAGTTTAGTGAGTATCATCTCAAAGTAACGTTGTAATTGACCGTGGTTAAAAATAAACACCGGACTTGATTGTTAGATGTATTGGCGCATACCCTTGGTTTTCACGCGGCCCGTTGCACAAGCAAAGCGGCCACACAGTCGAAGACTAGCGGACAACTGGAAGAATTTTGCTATGGAATCGAAAGAACTGAAGGATAAGTCCACTGGAATTTGGTTAACATTTACTTCGAAACAAGGCGGACGTGTCACCGACCAAAGCAACGCTGATGAGGTGGCAAGATCAACACCAAAAGAGCTTACCAATTCGAGAGGACCAAAGGTTAGTCCTATTCCTATGGTTTTGTCCGAAGAACCTTCGTTTGAATCAAAGGAAGTTGATATTTTGCCGAGTGATACAAACCTTGTTAAACTCGACACTGGTAAGACTAGAGCCAGGACCCTCACGTCCAAAGGCAGAGAATATCAATGTGAATTAAAGAAAAAGGCTGTGTTAGCCAACGATTGTGACCTGCAGACGAAATTAAGAAGTTTTCAAGAGTTTATTTGTAATTGTAAAATTCCAGATGAAACTAGAAGGGAAATTGCAGATATGGCTAAGGAAGTATACGAAGTTCAACGATCTTTCAATGAGGGGTTGGAATTATCAGTTGACATATGTGAAACTCAGCGTGCCTCAAACAAGCAGTCATATAGATACGACACCTAGAAAATAATACACGCTACTGCCGTGCAAGAGATAAAAAAGCTTGAAGATGATATTAAATCTGTTTACTCACGAAGGTCACAGCGTTCACGACGCTCTTCTAAATCAAAGTCCAACAGAAGTTCATACAAAGAGGCACTTCTTACCTGTCGCGCCAAAAGGGCTGCTCTGCGAGAGAAACTTAAGTTTTCGTCAGTCATCGCCGAACAAGAGGGCAAACTAGAACAATTGAAGTTTCAAAAAGAACTTGTAGAAATCGCAGCCCAAGAAGCTGTCTATAAAACAGCATGGGATGAAGAGAATGAACCAAACGACGAACAACAACTGCTCCTACCTACTGCTGTTCGTGATCCGATAGATGCCTTCCTAAATAGTTACGAAGAAACCAAATTGACCTTCACATCTCAAGCTGCCATCTTTACACCCACTACACAAGGAACATCTGTGACACACAGCATACCAGTCACATCTTTGTCATCGAGTCCATTTCTCAAGTCCCTTTCGCAATCAGTACCTCCAACCTCGCTTGGCTCACCGCTAGTACCATCTGTTCAAGAAACTCAGAGACCCTTGAACCCATTCTCACCAGTATACACTACTGCCAAGTTTAGTTCTGGAAGTCAAAGTGCCCCAATCATTCCAACAATCTCTACTACAAAGCCAGGGTACCAGCCTACCGCGCCGAGAGGCTTCTGCGGAAATCCTCCAGCATTCTTTCCAGCATCGGTGACCACCTATCCCCCGGTACCACAGAACTACACAGCCCAGATTACAGATGCACTTGCAAAAATTACCCAATTACAGCGACTACCGCAAACGATGCCCAGTGTTTTTGAAGGCAGTAGCTCAGACAAAACCAAGTTCTTCTTGTGGGAAAATGCCTTTGACAGTCTTATTGATTCTGCGCCAGTCACAGCTAGAGAGAAGTTACATCTCTTGTATCAATACCTGGGTGGTAAAGCCAAAAAGGTTGTGGAACAACTCCAATATCTAGTGGAGAACCCAGAAGGCGCTTATCAAGAAGCTCGCAGAATCCTCAAAGAACGCTTTGGCAACCCAGCCATAATTGGTGCTGATTTCGAGAGGAAGTTGACAACTTGGCCGAAGATCGGACTGAGCGACACAGTTGGCCTGGAGGAATTCAGTGACTTCTTGCAACAAGTGAAAATTGCAAGCAAACATATTGAAAGTCTTAAAGTTCTTAACTATCCTTCACAAATTCAAGTTATAGTGGAAAAGCTACCTGGGTGGTTCAAAGGAAACTGGTCAGATAAAGTGTTGAAGTTTCAAAGGAAAAAAGGGAAAGATGCCTTTCCACCCTTTGAAGAGTTTGCCCAAGAAGTACGTTACCATGCAGAAAGAACAAACATCCCTGAAATCCTGCAGAGTCCAGGAGCAACTGCTTCTACATTCCCTGATCGAAACAAGCATTTAGGTCGCCAATCTGCTCGTACCCGATCTTCGAATGTTGCTTTGACATCCACATCACCTTCAGTTGATGATTGTGAGGCAACGCCTCCACACGAAGAATCCCAAGTGGCAGCGATCCAAGCCCAACAGCCAGGCCTTACGAATGCTCCAGCAAGCAACTCACCAAATACTAAACGAACAACTCCACCTAACGCAAGTGCATATTGCTTCTGTCACAAAATGAAATCCCATGCGATGAAAGACTGCGAGCAGTTCCAAAAACTCAGCTACGAAGACCGTAAAGACTTCTTGATGAGGAACAAGATCTGCCTTAAGTGTGTCAGCTCTAACAAACATGTCACCAAAGACTGCAGTAGAGAAAAGTTACAGTGCAGTATCTGCCAACAGAAGTACGCCACCATACTTCACAATCCGACCAGACATCAGAGGGAAGATGTTAGCCGAGCCAATTCCGCCTGCTCTCAAGTTTGTGGACGAAACCAGTCAGCACGTTCCTGTGCAAGGATAGTTCTCCTAGAAGTTTTCCACCAAAATGATCCTTCAGCTAAAGTACCCACCTACGCAGTACTAGACGAGCAGTCGACAGACGTCTTTATCACAGACTCCCTCCTTGAACAACTTGGGGTACAAGGTAAAGAGGTGAACCTGGAAATAAATACGATTACAGGCGCGAACAGTGTTCCCACTCAGAAAGTCAATGGATTACACATCCAGGACTTACACAGTCTACACAAGTCTATTAAAGTTCCATTTGCCTATTCACAAGAGAAAATTCCAGCCAGTCAAGAAGACATTGCAACACCAGAAATAGCCCGGTCTTGGAAACATTGAGAAGGGATTGCCCACCACATTCACCATCGTACTAACACTGAGATAGGATTGCTGATTGGCCGTAACATTCCGTCCACCTTCCAGCCTTTGCGTATCATCTATGGCACAGATAATGAACCCTGGGCTGAAGAGTATAATTTCGGGTGGACAGTTATTGGTCCTGTGTGCCTCGACAAAAGAGAGGACAGAAGAAATTATGCGAAAGTCAACCGCATCGCAATACGGCGAGAAAACCCTCAGAAAGTCTTCAGTTCACAAGCAACAGTTCCAAAGAAGACCCTGTCGTGTCCTTTGCTACAAAGCACTATATCAAAGATGTTACCTCGCCTCAACAAGTTAAGGAAATGATGCAATTGGACTACAGTGAACTTCACTACACCCAAAGCATCCCAGGAACTGAAAGAAGTGAGTCCGTGGAAGACAAACGTTTCCACGACACTCTCACCGCTAACATCCACAAAAATGAAAAGGGAAATTGGGAGATGCCCCTACCGTTCAAAACCAGTGATGTGACATTGCCTAACAATCGTGATCAATGTCTGAAAAGACTACTCGGGATTAAGCGGAAACTCCTTAAAAATAACAAGACTCTAAAACACTACACTGAGTTCATGCAAAAGATTTTTCACAAGAATCACGCCAGTCCCGTCCCATCAGAGGAGTTGAAGACCAGTGCTGGCAAAGTCTGGTACCTGCCCCATTTTGACATCTATCACCCCAAGAAACAAGACCAGATTCGAGTAGTCTTTGATTGCAGTGCTGTTTTCCAAGATCAGTCACTCAACAAATACCTCTTACAAGGGCCTGACATCTTGAATAGTCTCGTTGGGGTACTCTCAAGATTTCAAAAAGAAGAAACAGCAGTAACATGCGACATCGAACAGATGTTTCATAGTTTTTACGTAAACTCAGAACACAGAGACTTTCTAAGATTTCTGTGGTTTAAAGATAATGATCTAAATGGTCAAATTCGCGAATATCGAATGAACGTCCATCTGTTCGGTGCTGTCTCTTCACCCGGCGTTGTCAATTTCAGTCTTAGAGCCACAGCCGAAGCTGGTCGAAAGCAATTTGGGAAAACAGCAGCAGATTTTCTACAACAAGACTTCTACGTTGATGACGGATTAAAGTCCTTCGCTACACCCAAAGATGCTATTGATGTCATCAACAAGACGAAGATCGTGTGTTCAGCCGCCTTTTTACGCGTACACAAATTTGCTAGCAACAGTAAGGCTGTACTGGATGCCTTGCCTGCTGAAGATCGCGCCAAAGACTTGAAGGATCTAGATCTCCGCCACGATGTCCTACCTGTCCAGCGCTCTCTAGGTACTTACTGGTGCATCGAAACTGATACCATTGGATTCCATATAGAGCTTAAAGATAAACCTCTTACCCAGAAGGGAATTCTTTCAACCGTGAGCTCAGTGTATGACCCACTAGGCATAGTAGCACCAGTTATCTTAGTGGGAAAACAACTACTTCAAGAACTATGCCATGACGGCATCGAATGGGATGATCCTGTACCGAGCCACATTCACTCACAGTGGGAAAAATGGAGATCGGAACTCCCCCTCCTTGAGAAAGTTACGATTGCAAGGTGTGTCAAGCCCCCCAGTTTTGGTGAGCCAGTTATAACCGAGCTACATAGTTTCTCTGATGCTAGCGACCTAGGCCTTGGCCAAGTAACCTACCTACGACTTGTGAACAACTCAAATCAAATACATGTCCGTTTCTTGATGGGTAAGGCTTGAGTCGCACCTTTGAGGCCGATGTTGACTCCACGTCGCGAACTTACAGCCGCAGTGATTTCAGCCAATGTGGCCTCCATGCTCAGCAGAGAGCTCAAGTACAAAGACCTAGCCGAAGTATTTTACACTGACTCCTCCATTGTTTTGGGTTATATTCGTAACGAAGCAAAGCGTTTCCATACATATGTCGGAAACCGCGTACACCACATCCATGACAGATCGAAACCACAGCAGTGGCACTATGTTGCCAGCACCAATAACCCAGCTGACATTGCCTCACGAGGCATGACCGCCAAACAACTTTCAGAACACCAACCATGGTTCAAAGGTCCGAGTTTCTTGTGGGAGAAGGACGCATTTGTGGAGAACACAGATCCGGTTCCCGATTTGAACCCCGAAGATACTGAAGTAAAGAAAGTCAAAACGGCGGTCCTTATCTCAAACTGAGTCCCACCCCAAAACCAGGAAGAGAAAACCTTTCCAGAAGTTTTGGAATTGGATCAGTTTAACCATTCTTCATCCCTCGGCCGCCTGAAAAGAAGTATCGTTCGCATCCAGAGAATGATTGAGAAGAATCGTCCCAACAAACAGCACAACACAAGACCCATTGCTGGACCACACACTGTGGAAGAAATGCGCCTAGCAGAAAGGGTAATCTTGAAGTCGGTGTAGTTCTGGTATTTCGGTAAGGAGATTCAAGTACTCCAAAATCTCAGCGACAAGGACCCCATGTTCCAGAACCGCCAGACTGCTCACACTAGAAATAAAAAACTGAAGCAAACCAGCTCGCTCTTTAGACTTGACCCATTTCTAGATTGAGAGGGATTGCTCAGAGTTGGAGGCCGACTTCAGAAGGCTACCTTGGCCTATGAAGTAAAGCATCCCATTCTTGCGCCAAAGAAGAGTCACATAACTGAACTTTTGATCAGAGAGTACCACAGTAAAGACCAACATCATCAAGGCTGTGGTATGACACACAATGCACTTAGACAAGCCGGTTACTGGATTATAAATGGACGTTCCTCTGTTTCTCAGCACCTCCGAAACTGTACTATTTACCGCAAGCTTCATGGACCTGCTCAAGTCCAGAAGATGGCGAACCTCCCAACAGAACATATTACTCCCGCTGCACCTTTCACATATTCTGGTATGGACGTTTTTGGACCTTGGTACATTAAAGAGAGCCAAAGGGAACTAAAGCGCTGGGGACTGATCTTCACCTGTTTGAGTTCCCGGGCCATACATTTGGAGACCCTAAACTCAATGGAAACAGACTCATTTGAATCAATTTGGATCAGCTGAAACCCAGTAACAAGGGCAGTTAAGGACTTGCTAATGCTTCTTCCCATCCCCCTTCACTTTTACTACCATATTGTAAGTCCCATGCTGGTAGTCACGTCCACACAGTGTAGGTCCTAGACTACAATTCATGTCATTACAGTGTAGGTCCTATGCTGGTAGTCATATCACTACTTTGGTCCTTTTTGGTGTAGTGTTTGGATAGTACTTCTGCAGCTGCAGGTGCTGGTAGTGATTGCAAAGTTGTTGCAGTTATACAGGAGTCAACAAAAGAGGCTGCACCTGCTCACTGTGATTTATTTACAAAATAATTAATTTGGATAACTGAGGTTTCAAGGCAGTTGTTGTTATAAGGTTAGGTGGTGTTTCAGTGCCACATAGAAACATTGTAATGTACATACCTACCAACTTACCTACGGACTTATATACCTGCCTGCCTACCTGTCTGCCCATTCTCCCACCCACCTGCCTACCCTCTTATCCACCCTCAGATTCTCTTTACACACTCAAGTGGAAAGGAATTATTTGCTAGTGAATAGGTTCTCCTTCAGCAATCCAGTTGTGTTTTGTCTTTAATACTTTTTTGTACAGTTTGCACCAAATAGACTGGAAAATATATATTTTTTTTATGGTTGTAATGTCGAAATGAAAAAATACTTTTTCCATTTCAACTTTACAGATTGATGTAGTGAGAACTAACGTCTGTCATGAAATTCCTCTCAAAATATCCAATAAATAGTTCCTTTAATTTGTCGGTGACAGAGACTTCAAAAGATAAGGCATTCATCATGATTTCAAAATATTTCCAATTGGTTTTTTCAAAGTTACATTTTATCAGTGTTTTTTACTAATTTTTCCTAATATTAATCTTTATGCTCTCTAGACTTTCTAGGTGAGGTTATTTTCATGGCAACCCCCTCGTCATCATTTCCGTCATCGAAAGAGACAACCAACTATGCAAGGCTGTGCCGCCTCCTGGTGGATGTTGGCTCTCAAGTGCTCCGGTCCACTTTTGACAAAATTCATCCACCAGCGACTCTACACACAGTTTTGGGAAAAGCCTCTGTGCACCACGCCACATTGCAATCACTGTACAAAGGGAAGAAGAAGGTATTGAATCCAACCCAGTGGGGGAAGCTGTATCCTGCACATTCACCTGTGTCATCAGCAACCTTTGACATAACGCTCCTAACAGTGCTGCTTAGAAATATCTGTGGCTTGAGCCCTCCTGTTACTGGTTGGGATCATCTTCCCCTAGCTGCAAACAAAAGCATTACAGATGACATCGCCAGAGTGAAGTATTACAGGAACACTGTATACGGCCATGCCTCTCAAGCCTCTGTAAATGACACTGTTTTCAGTTCTTATTGGCAGGAGATACGAGAAGCTTTGGTGAGACTGGGGGGAGCTCATTTTCGGGCAGATATCGACAATCTTGAGCACGACTGCATGGATCCTGATATTGAAGAGCATTATCGTGAACTAATGAAACAATGGAAGAATGACGACGACAGCATCAAGAACAAACTTGAAAAGATGGAAGGTGAGAAGACTTGTTTTCAATGTCTTACGTAAGGAGCGGGGCCCCAAATTGTACACCATTTAATTTGTATTATAATGGCAGTCTGCGAAGGGGCCACTAAGTAATCGTTTATAAATTTATCATTGGTTTTTTACCTTAGAAACACGTAACTGCGGTATGTACCGGTCGATTTACTTAATTATTCTTTTTCATTTTCAGCGAGCATTAAAGACTCAATGGAGAAGATCATAGTGCCCCTGAAAACCATAATGGAGAAAAACGTGAGAGATACAGCTGGGAAGATAGAGAGTGAATTGAAAGAGGTGAAAGAGAAACTTGGTTCCCTAACGGCCTCAGTTGAGAAAAGTACGGAGGAAGGTTAGTTGGTGACAACAGTTACACAGAATAAAAAAGGGCCATAACTGCCACTTTGTCACTGGCTCATTAGGCTAAAGATGAAGTTGTTGTTTGGTCTTGAGCTTGGCCTCAGTGCAACGATTTTGTACGATTTTAAGGATTTATTACTGCAAACGAGTATTACTTCGAACATATCTTGATCATTAACTGATAGACATTGAAGATGGTCGTCACTCGTTACAAAGTAATGATTAAGAAACAAGTAGTAATGATATTGCTACACCTCCACGATGGGATACTTTTCAATCTGAGGTCTCTTACTCTGGTCTCTAAACTCACTTTTTACGTTCCCTGACAGGACGAATTTATTATGTCTTTGAAATTCGAGACAAAGAGAGCCATTGTTTGTTTAAAAGATGCCTTTCCTAAGGATACAATTATCTTCTTTGCCTTGACTGTGCACACGTAACGATCAGGAAAGGTCTTTTAAGTCTTTTAGGATGACTTTGATTTCCTCCAAAGCCCCAGCAGCGCAAAAACGTATATTCTGGGAGAATAACAATTTTAACGTTTCTCAGCTGAGAATAGATTTTAACTTACGCAAGTGAATGGGTGAAGAAAAAGACCCCTATATCATTCAAACCTTGCGCATTGAATTACTTTCGTGTAGCCTTGCATGGAAGCAAAGCAAGTAGAAAGAGACCAAAATGATGGCATGTAGTTTTAGCTATTCCCTTAACTTAACTACAGTTTTTACCAGCCTGGGGATAGTAAATTTCAATGCTTTTGAATTTTAGGAGGGGCGAAATTTGCACTGGCGCAGATGAAAAGTGAAATAGAAAAAATGGACAGTGGGATGAACGATGTGAAGGAAAATCTGTCTGTCCTGACTGACTCTGTTAAAGAGACCAAGGATGAAGGTAAGCTGAGTTCTCCAATATACTTAGGAGTTTTCGAGTGCACTTGGATCTTAGGGAGGAAGTGAAAGTTGCAGACCTATGATTATGATATGATTGGAGTAACATTTTTTCCTGCTTTCATTACGCTTCGACAGTCCACTGTCCATTTAATATTTCCTTAAGACCAACGCCTAGAAGTCATCACTTGCCACTAAGCCTAAGATGTACTTTCACTATAGCATTGACGATTGTTGACCATATGATGACTTTGTGCCTCGATCCGTCGATTTTCACGGCATGTTTGCATTTTTTTAATTGGCCAGTTGGCATATTGATTACTTTAGGAACGCTCGAGTCTAAAAGTACATGCCGTTCTTTTTCTCTTTTGGCTGTCAACTCTACATTGTCTTCCAAGGCGTTCCATTAATGGAGATGTAAGGAAAGTTGGGATGGAAATGGCGAGTCTCCCTTATTAGGTTTGCCTCCATACCCGATATCATGTTCTTGTCCTCCTGCTCATATATCTTGGGGGCGTCTGTCTCCGTATGCTAGAATGATCTACTTTTTACCCCATCCAAATGGAAATATTTTGTCGGAACGTACGCTAAAATCATCCAAGTGGTGTTTTCCGTTTTGGTCCATTATTGATAAACACTAGGAATTATTTTACAGATTTCATTTCATTTGACCTTACCTTGTGAGCTATTTCGCTCCTGGGGCGTGAGTCTTTGTTTTTCGTTTTCCGTTCAGCTTCGGAACCTACTCAAGCGCTTCCCAAAAAAACTTCCAGCCAAGCCACGCATGTAAATTGGCGTATTTATTACAAAATAGATTCCCAATCAAGCTGGAGTTAGCGCTTTAATAGCGTCTAGCTTGAGAACTAGTCCTTTTTAAGGTATAATCTGATTTATCGTAGGCTTAGAAACTCGCGCTTAGCCCGTCAGAAAAAGCCTCTTTTACACCTGCTCTCAGTGTCATGGGAAGCCTGTTTGTATGCTGTGCCTGCCGAAAGAGACCCCAGTGGCTGTTATCGGCATATCATGGCCTCCATAGAATCCCATTTCCAGATTTCAAACTCTATTTGCTACATATAGGGGAAGATACTTTCTGGCTTATTAATTTGTTATTTGTATTAATTTGTTATTTAGACATAAGATCGATACTCGGAATAGACGTTAAGTCAGTTATATTCGAGTAACATGTGAATTTCTTGATCTTATTGTAACGAAGCTTCTAGAAATCAAGAGAACAATTTAGAACATTAAATTACTACATCACTATGTTTGTAAGCTGCGCCAGAAATTTCTCCTTACACCGGAACATTCTGTTAAGTTATTTCAAGGATATCTCATCATGGGCATCTAGAATGTTCTTACTGCTAAAAACAGTGTTTTAAAAATTAGGTATGACGTAATCGGCCACTATGAATAAGGCTCGAGATCGTAACATTTAGCGAGGTTTTAAGAAGTTTAAGATACCACTGTAAAGTTATGTCGCAGACCCTTAAAGGGTTTGAATTGGAAACCGGAATCTTCTCTTGGCTTCGTGACACTCATGGAAAAAAAAATTCAGAATCATTGACATTAATTAAAAGATTAAATTAAGAGACTTGTGGGATGCACACATAGCGATTACTTAGTGTTGTCAAGTCAAGTAATCATTTTAATTAAAGTCTTCCTGCCGAGATTTAACATTCTAGCAGAGGGAAGCCTTCTGAAAACAAAATTTTTACAATGATAAGAATCCTGCTGCAGTATTGCAGGCAGTATAGGCGACTTAGATATCTCCTTTTCATTTCGAATGGCAAATCGTATAGCGAAATGTTTTCTCCAAAGACTCCTTCTTTTACCTCTCGGTACCATTTTGGTACTAATTTTAAAGAAAATAGTTTACGATGTGTCGTGTGATCTCTTTTTATACTGCGCAAAATAAGATCAAAACAAACCTTTTTTAATATACATTTCAATCTGTAGAGGGTATAAAACAGTCATTGAAGCAAATCAGAGATGAAATGGACACCAAACTTACAAGGATGGAGATTGAAATGAAAGAGTTGAAGGAAAAGCTGTGTAAGCGGACAGTCTCAGCTGAGGAATTCAAAAGTGGAGGTAAGTTTTCGGAATGCCATTAAAAAGCATGAAAAGTTTTCTTCTACCACAGGCCGGCAAAATGCCGGGCATGCCATTGCGTTTTTTGTGTCGCTAATTTTTAAAAAAAGAATACACGACTTTTTTCAAGCGGAAATCGATCATCATATGATCATGGATAGTGACTGGAATCCACAAAAACTTCGGAATTGTGGATTCAACCATCAGCAATTCAGCGAAAATTCATACCGCAGTCCTTAAGTATCTACAGTTCGTTTGTTACCAAATTACAAGATAACAAAATTTTCTAACCCGCCGAGGAAAGGCTCTTTGATGATCTTTTTTTCGACGTAGGTATGCGAAACGTAGGGACGAAAAAGGTGGGGGATTCGATTTGCAAATGTTGTGGATTTAGCACGGACCTGGAGAGGTCTGGGAAGAGCGCGTGTGTCAGTTAAGATGGCCGATCGATTGTTAAATTTGCGAAGGAGCTCTGAGGGGATAAGGATTTTACTTGGAATCAAGTTTGTTGGCTTTTGCTATAGTTGCTGCAGGTAATAATAACATTTTGCAGAGTAGATCCACGAGTTTAATACAGTATTGCAATTATTTAATTTAGGTGCTTTTGATCTAACTGAGCTAATCGATGGAATTCGCCAATTGTACAAAATTCGGGAGGGATGGCTTTCACCGTTTCCATGGTGTGAAGAGTTCCAGTTTTTTGTGGGTGATATTTTTACAAGGCTCAAACTCGTCAGAAGAAAGAAAACGAGAGGAGACGTCACTGACAAAATCATCACCATGTCGTCTCTCTTGAATCCGCACGAAGAGTGTTCAGAGCCAAGAACCGTTCTAATCGAAGGAAAACCTGGTATGGGTAAAACTACTTACTGTAAAAAGTTTGTTTACGACTGGGCTACAAAAAAACAGAACCCTGAAGATTTCGTCTTAACTATCAAAGTAGTACTGCTCCTTAAATGTCGTGATATTAAGTCTGATATTTGGGAAGCCATTGATGATCAACTTCTGCCTCGAGATTTGGAGGAAGGAGCCAAACAGCAATTCTTCCAGTTTATTCGTGACAACCAATCCAGTATTTTATTGATATTAGATGGACTGGATGAGTTACCCTGTAGTGAAGGGCCATGGATTTCAGAAATGATCGCGGGAAGACTGCTTCCGAAGTGTTACATAGTAGCAACTGCGCGACACGAAGCTGGAGTAAAGCTAAGAAAATGCTTTGACACCTTGCTCGAAGTCGAAGGATTTACTCAAGCACAAGCCAGAGCATTTATCGCCAAGTACTTCAAGGAAAAGTCGCAATTAGCTGAAAAGCTCTCGGTACGAATATCCAGCGATGAAATCCTTCAAGAAATGTGTGCAAATCCATTAAACACAGCGCTGCTTTGCCTTTTATGTGAGGAGTTTGGGGGCAACCTTCCGGAAAATAGAACCAAGCTCTATTTAGATATGATTGAATGTGTCTTGCGAAGATACAGAAAAAAGAAAGAACTACCTGATACAAAAGAGGATCTTACAGACATTTACAAATCGCAGTTGAAAACCCTTGGATTAATAGCGCTAAATGGTTTGATTGATGACAAGTTGGATTTTGATGAGAATGAATTAGAAGAGCATCCTAGTGACTTGGCTGCATTCGGATTTCTGTCAGTTCAACCCGGAGGTAGTAAACTGAGGCCGAGTCTACGTTATGCATTTTTACACAAATGCTTTCAAGAATGCTTTGCAGCATTCTATATCTGTTGTGAGATTCAAGATAAAAAAATAACACCTGAAAAGTTAGTTTCCGATGAGAGGTATTTCAGTAAACTGAGACAGGTGCTATTGTTTTCATGCGGCATTTTAGCAGAACAATCCGATCAACAAGCTGCGGTTCTCGTCTCGAGTATAGGACACTGGTTTAACGATCCCGACGACGGCAACATGAAGGGTGTAGAAGTTGTATTAGAGGCCATCAATGAATGTAAAAGAAAGAGAGATGATTTTCACCTGCAATTAGCAAGATATTTTGGATCAAATATCACTAAAAAAGAACTAGTCTGTATGCAGACCCTAGGCATGGAACTGCTACTAATTCTCTCTGAGACAATTAAAGTCAACAAGACTTTGACTCATTTGCGTTTGTGTTGTGATCTGAGTGGTGATGCCGGTGCTATATCAATTGCTGAGGCAATCAAAGTCAACAAGACTCTGACCAATTTCCATTTAAGTGTCGATGGGATTAGTGATGCTGGTGTTACATTTATTGCTGAGGGAATCAAAGGCAACAAGACCCTAACCACTTTAGATTTGTCTGCCAATCAGATTAGTGATGCTGGTGCTACATCTATTGCAGAAGCAATCAAAGTCAACAAGACTCTGACAGATTTAAATTTGACTGGCAATTGCATTAGTGATGCTGGTGCTACATCTATTGCTGAGGCAATCAAAGTCAACGGGACTCTTACTTATTTGACTTTGTTTCACAATCAGATTAGTGATGCCGGTGCTACATCTATTGCTGAGGCAATCAAAGTCAACAAGACTCTGGCAAATTTGGATTTGATTCAAACTAAGATTGGTGATGCCGGTGCTATATCTATTGCTGAGGCAATCAAAGTCAACAAGACTCTGACTAATCTGTGGTTGTGTGAAAATCAGATTACTGATGCTGGTGCTACATGTATTGCTGAGGGAATCAAAGTCAACAAAACTCTGACCAATTTGAATTTGCTTGAAAATCAGATTAGGGGTGCTGGTGCTACATATATTGCTGAGGCAATCAAAGTCAACAAGACTCTGACCAGTTTGAATTTGTTTCGAAATCAGATTAGTGATGCCGGTGTCACATCTATTGCTGAGGCAATGAAAGTCAACAAGACTTTGACCAATTTGAATTTGTCTGGTAATGAGATCAGTGACGGCGGTGCTACGTCTATTGCTGAGGCAATCAAAGTCAACAAGACCCTGACCAATTTGGTATTGTCTTGTGGTCGGATTAGCAAAGCCGGTGCTACATATATTGCTGAGGCAATCAAAGTCAACAAGACTCTGACCAGTTTGAAGTTGTATCGAAATCAGATTAGTGATATTAGTGATGTCAGTGTTACATTTATTGCTGAGGCAGTCAAAGTCAACAAGATTGACTGTTATTGATCGCTTTCTTTGACGAATGTTACATGTGGTATAGGTTCTATATCCTAAGGATACAGTAGTCCTTCACGGAAAAAAGAATGGTACCACGCTATATGTGTAAATTTTGTGAATTGTTATATCCGGCAAAATATTTTTTTCCTTCTTAGCTTGATCTAATCATAAACCAGAAGAGTCGCACAATTAAAAGCGGATGATGTTCCTTTTAGCAAATAAGTCAATAACTAATCTGACCACTGAAATATTACTTCTACACATTTGCCTGTCAAGTTTCTTATAAAAAGTTTGCTGATACCTTTTATGTAGGCGACCATTACGAAAGATCACTTTCGAATAAACTGAATTCCCCTAAATGTTTTTGTTAGGTTCTTATCTTCTGAGTCCTCGGGCGAAAGTTTAAAGCAATCAGCTAAGTCTTCATACTCTATAAATTTGTTTAGAGTTGATACATTTTAGCAAAAAGGCTTGGGGTTGTTTTTGTTTCTAATGTTTTGACAACATTTTATACCTTTACTTTGGTTGACCACAAATTATTTCCACACTGAAAACTGGAAATGCTGACTGCCAAGAGAAACACAAAGCCGTCCTTAGAAACGGATCAGACGCGGTGCAGCAGAAATTCGGATTGAACTTTTACGACTGTATGATATAAGATATAGATATATCGAATAAAAGCGCCTAGTGATTGTTGCTTAAATAACCAAGAAATTTGACTTAACTTTTTCCGCGAGTAGTTTATTCCATAGTCTTATGGTCCTTGAGAAGAAGGAACAAAAACGAATGTCCTTTGTCGCTTTATGTTCTCTGTATCTATGACGATGACTTCCTCCAGTTTTGAATGCAGAATGGGGTTTTTAAGTAGCTGTTTAAATCAAAATCGTCATATACACGGCTCATTTTATATAAAAGATTTAGATGAGTTATAGTTCTTAATTCTAAGCTTGACCAACGTAGATCTTAAAGAATTTCAGTAACGCTAGCTGTAGGATAATGGAGCAGAACCATTATTGGATCTTCTCAGGCAAAGCAACGTCCTTTGGGTGATAGTCTCCCAATCGGCACAGGCATATTGAAGCTTCGAATGAACTTTTTTAGACAATTCCAAAGATGCCTTTTTGTCATGCCCCAAACTTTACTTGCCTTCTCGAGAACGGCGAAGACGTGTATGGGCCACTTCAGATTTTTTATTGAATAATACACCCAGGTAGGAAATACATTCAACCTATTCCAGTTAGAAAACGTATTTCCTTTGTGGGGTTACTTTTTTGGTGGAAATTCATATTGCATTTTGAAGGTTGAATACCATTTGCCATTTGCTCTGCCCCACTTTTAGTTGTCTAAGGTCATCCTGCAGTTGGTCACCGTCCTCCACACTTGAGATGTCACCGTATGTTAATGTATCGTCAGCCTAAATGAGGAGTTAAGAGGACATCCGTACAACAATCAAACAAATATGAAATTTTTGTGGCAAGGCTTAAACGATCAAATTGTCTCTATTTTTACACACAAGTAGCGCCAAAGTCTTCAGCGCCAAAATCGCGATTTACTGATAAGAGTAGTGACAATCAAAACAAGCTATGATGACTCTCTCGGTCAACTAAGTTTTGTAAATTTATTTTCCACGCCGATTAAAAGAAAAGTGTGGTAATTGCAGAGTATTTTCGGGTGTTACTAAACCGGTAATTAGCAGTCCGCGGAACCTCTGACACCTGGGGAACCCATTACAGTGAAACCTCCATTTAACGAACCTCTATATAACGAAGTCCTCGGCATAACGAACATTACTTCAGTTTCAGCCCGGCGCAAGTTACAGTAAAATGTATGCCACAGAATCTCGATATAACGATCCAATTTCCACAGTCCCTTGGCACTTTGTTAAATCGAGGTTCTACTGTATTCTAATAAATAAATAAAAAGTCTTTATAAAGCACTCTAAACAACAAACGTGTTTAGTTACAATGATATGAACTCAGCAAGTATAAAACTAATTAACTAACAAAACTCAACAAATTTATATATTATATTACAGGCAGCACCCGTGGGGCAATATGAAGCGCATCCTTTGATTGGCTACCCAAACGGGCAAGATGGGCCGCTTTGATTCTGCGCATGTGAAAAAATTGAATTCGTACTAAATTCACAATTTTTGGGCATTGTCGGTGATGGACACACAAAAGGCGGCAGAAGACAGTCAAAATAAATAAAACAGAAAGATTCTCGTGAGTTATTGTGCTACAAACCCGGTGGTCATAATTTAAAGCGAAATTTTTTGTATTATAACAAATCCTTTTTTGACCAAGCTTGTTCTGTCAAGATAGCTGGATGTTAGCCTCGATCTTTTTTTCTTCGCATTTTTATTGATAGTGACTTCGTCTCGGCCATAGAAATGCGAAAAAAAAAAAAAAAAAGAAAACTCGGCCAATATCCAGCCATCTTGACCTCAAGCTTGGTCAATAACGCATCTATCTTAGCCCTAAACTGGAAGATATTGTAAATTGGGAGAAATAGCCAAAGATTAATTTACTAAAATTTTCAGGAAAATAGTTTTGTCGGCAGGCTTTCCTATTGTCCGTTACTATCTTACTCAAAGCAAACACAGATTTAAAATTGTATCAGCGGAGTGCAAGGGAAGCTCTTCTGTATCTGAGGAACAATACGAACCTGGAAATATTCTCAACAGTCCTCATGGTTTTAACAGTGTCTTAATAGCCTCAACTTCGCAAAGCTGAACAATTTTCTGGTTTTTTGAACTGATTGAAATACGGTCGAAGTATGACGAAAAGTACTGCTTTATTTCGTACACGTGCGGAATTAGCTTATGTTACGACGGAAAAAGTTTTACTTGTTTCAATAAATTCAAAGTTTTCACAGGTCACTTATCTGCTCATACTTTCAAAAAGGGACAAATGTTCGTGCAAGCCTTGGAAAATCGCCCACTCTCCTTTCTGCGAGTGTGCATGTTTGCCAACTTTAAAAAAAAAAAAAGAGAGATTCTAAAATATTTTTCTATTATTGCTTGCTTGACGATGTTAAAGTTGTGGCCAATAGTAGCAAGGTTATTCTTGTGCGAGAGTTGTTTAGTCTTAAACACAACATATCCTTTCCCTAACTTTTTTGCGCACAGTAATCTCATAAGTTTATGACAACTGCTAACATAACCGTCTGATTGATGAGTATCGACAGTTTCCAAGAGTAATGTACACCGACCCTCCTATTTATTTGACTCTCTCTTGTTTTGAAAACTTCATTTAAATTGAATAATTTGGTAAGAGCCTATCTTGAAATTCAAGTATCAAGGTCAAAAAAAAGGACGAACCGTGCCACTGAAGTAACTGTATTCTTACATAACACAACACGCAGCACAAAGACAGGTGGCAAAATAGCGCTTAAACGACGGTTATTGTATTAAAAAGGAGCCAACTTTGCCTTGGACGAAACATCCAACATTTTCCCACTTAATAAACGCCACTTATTTTGCTGGACAGAAATGAAATTTTGTCGGCCGTTAATCATTCCTCCTCAAACGAATTATTCTTGTGATTGATAGACAACACAGTGGATAAATCTTGATACCCAATGAAACACCAGATGACACACCGCCAGGTTTTTTATCTGAGATGGAGCATTTGCATTTTGATGAGATGTTTTATCGATTAGTACAACTCATGTAAACAATGCAATACCTCTTATTAACAGCAACTCTTAAACATGCGATCCTTTGATATAATGAACTTAATTTTAATAGAGAAATTTACAGTAACAACCTCTTGTGCGTCAGATCACGTCAAACAACTTTATTCTCTCTCCTTAATTTTACACTCCGGTAGGAGGTGTTCCAGGCCCTAATGCTGACGATACTACTATAATTTCTCTTTTAACTCCTCTTCGTAGAAGGTTTTTGGCTCTCCAAACCTTAGAAATGACGTGTTGTGACATGGTGTGCCGACCATTTTGTTGTTCAAACTTATCCCGCGATAAATTGTATGCTGTTGGTCTCTATTGACTCGTGGGGAGGAGGAAATGCGGGAGCACAACGAGTGTGATTGTGCTTCTCCTTCATTTGCGCGCATATTTTACATTTCTTTTCGTTTTCTTTTGTTTCGCTGTGTGCCTCATGAGGCCATCGATGCTCCAATCAATGCTGTCGTTTTTCCTTTACTTTCTCGGTCTGACGAAACGTAGATCGGCATCTTCTCGGTCAAGATGAAAGCCATATCTGAATGGCAGGGCGTGGGAGAGGTACGAGACAGAACACGCTTGTATCTCGCGTGATCCGGCCCAGGGGACTGGCCCAATGTGCTGTAAAACCTATGGTCTCTTTTTTCTTACGATGGAAAAGAAGAGGATAGACCCTGGGAAAAAGACAGGTGCTTTGTTGTGCTTTCTGAAAAAGTCTTTTTAGAAACTGTTTCCTCCCCAGTTTTCCTCACATCCTGGGCCTCGATTAGTGTTAAAAGAAATGGTGACACCAAGGAGTTTATGACCGACTGGGCATAGAACAGGTGGTACAGGTAGCACAGGTTGCACAGGTGAGTGTCATTAATACATAATCGGCGCGAAGGTTCTTTGTATTTTGTGTCTTTGTTCGTACGCAGAGTCAAAGTTATTAACGTGAGAAAAATGTCATGCGATGATACAGAGCATGATAATCTGATAGGCATTTCCACGCTTAACACTACGATTTAGGCTCCGAGAGCTCTTAATATATAGTAGATTACTTTTAACGAAAACCCAACAGAGGTATTTTCGGGCTGAAACTGCTGTCTTGTTGTTTGTTTGGGCAGATGCGTCAGTGTGTCGATCACTTGTAGACGGATCTTTGAACATGAAATTTAGTTGCCTTACCTGTACAGATCACTTTCAAAGTGGGGAGTTGACTAGAAATCTTTATATTTCTCTAAGAGCATAGGAAGAAAGTATTAGACTTATTCGTTTCTCGTTTTAACCTGGTGAGATGTTCTAAGAAGAGTCGAGAAGATGACGAAGTAGTTTACAGCTCGATAAATGAACTAGTTTTCTAGCTTCTGAATTTGCCTAAACTATTAAAGTTAGGAATGAGGTTTTTTTTGACACAGTTGAAACATGTTTCTCTTTGCAGGGCCATTTTTGAACCCTATTGGTAACTACAGTGTTTATAGTCCGTTCTAAGATCATTTTCGGGTAAGTAACTGACGATTTTATTTAACATGCAACTAACTTCTGCCCATACTACACTCAGCATCGATAAACATTACATACAATTGCTTCCGTTCGAGTGATATGCGTTGGTATGGATCTGCTTTGCAATCAGAACAACCTTGTCATTTCCCAGGAGCTGTTGTGTACAAAAGTATAGCGGTAGCAAGTAATTAAAATTTCTTTTACGCAATCGAAGCTGAAACTAACACCTTATGATGTATTTAGAGTGTGAGAATGACTTACCCCCTCAAAAAAAAACTCTCTAATAGGTAAATAGAATTTTTCGATGCTTGTTCAAATGTTCCGGCGCTGGTGGTATTTATCTGTGGGTTTGGTTTCGAAAAATTTCATGCCTACATGTCGCAGGTGCAATCGGCCGATTCATGTTGATGTAGTTTAACAATATGCTGTTTACCCTGGCTGATCGTAAGGAAGGCATTTTTTAGAATTTTTCCCTTACGTCTAGTTATCTTTGCTGCCAAAGAGCTTTATTCTGTTAAAACCCAGTTTGTTACTTGGGTTTTTTCTCCAAGTGTACCTACGTCAATCACTGAATAATATCATCCGTCGAAAAAACCTTTTTTAAAAAACCTTTTTTAAAATAAGGCAAATAAAGATGATGATGATGATGATGATGGTGATGGTGATGGTGATGTCCCTTTGTTTAGTCTCCATTTTTTTATCCCAGTTTCCACGTGATCTAAGTTCTACTCAGCATGATCTTGCAGTATTGTTTCGAAAGGACACCAGTTTCCTGATTACTTTTGATCATATCAGTGCTTGTAGTTATGCTGGATTGGTTACAACCATGCTTAACTGCAGATGTTAGTAATGATTTAAGTAGCTCTGGTTTTACTGCTGGTTCTACAAGTAAGTGTGCTTAAGAGTTGTGATGGTAGAAGGATCCGATGAGGCATGTATTGTTCTAATATTAGAGCAATGTGCTATTGCACCTGAACTGCAGAGAATGACAGAAAGATACATACTTGAGCTTTGCTTCTTCAATGTATTTCATCCCAAACAGTCTCTTTCTCTGATGGCCCCTCTCTCACCTGATAAATAGATAGGAAAATGAAATGTTTTAGGGGAATATGTCTTGAATTTTCATGGTGCTCCAGGCTGAGGTGAGGAGATGATTAAGGAAATTTGGGCACGATATTTAGCATTCAGTTTTTACAATGCTTTTGGCCAATAGACCTCTACCCAGTTGTCCAAGTCATTCGCGAGGCTGCTATTGCAAAGATAGCTGTGTATGTGGTGAATTGTGATGGTGCATAGATTCCAACTGGCTGTGTCGGGGATTTTAGATATTGTCCTTAAGGTAATGCATGTTATTTACCTTTTAATCCATTCACAGGTTGTCGTGACAGGTTAGTGTAATGGTTTGTGGATGATACTGGTGATTACTCTGCGACAAAAATGTTATGAAGTAATCTAAGCATGTGACTCACCTCTTGTGTGAAGTGTTTACTATGTACCTTCGTTACTTCTGGCCATCAAACTAGCAGAGTTGGTACCTCTCTAGTCTCTATTTGCTATCCAAACACTACAAATTTTGGCGAAGAGTACGCCTGCGGGAGATGATACAACTGATTATGAAGTCCAAGGAGCGAGTGCAGCTTCATTCATGCGCAGTGCTCCAATGGCAGCTTATTTTGGCGGAATGGAAAATTTTGACCTGAAAGTGGAAGAGTGGTTGACATAAGTAGAGCATTTGGAGATGTTCTTCGTGGTGAACAATGTTAGGATGCGTTTGTTATGGTTGTTGATTATTTGTTCCGTGTTATTCATGCAGCTGTAACTGATCTTGATAGTGTTTCGGTACTAGGGCGAGGATTTTGTGTCTGATGTTGGTGCTGGTGCTCTTGCTTAAAGAGAGAGGGGTTGTACCAGAGGATGTTATTGCGTTGCCAGTTTCTTCGTTTGCTTGTTTTGGCTGGTTCATATGAACCAGCCATAATTCCGCATAATTCCAAATGCTTGTAGTTTTATAGTTCATTGCTTGGTGAATTCTTCAACTCCCATACGTGATTAAAATTTAACTTTTTATTGTGAGATACGTTTGTTATCCAGTAAACAAGTAAAAAGAATTTACTCAAACTTATGAGGTAGATATTGTTATCTTGATCTTACACCAAATTCCTAAAACTAATTTACATCAATGAAAATGTCAAGCAGCTAGAGGGTAGAATTAACAAGCAGACTTTGGGACACAAAGGATTAAATAAAATGCAGAAAGATTAATTTGATTTTGTAGTTTCCAGGTCTTATACATACCTGTCCAAGAAAATTATGCAGATTTGGTCAGGGAAAATTTTATTTTGTCCTTAAGTTAATTATTTGACTCCTTTGCCTGCAAGTCAAGCTCCCGATTGGTAATCAGGTGTATATAACTCAATCACTCTTGGGTAAAATCTTCTATGATCTTGTCTATCTACTAAACCTCATTGTCCAGACATAATCATTGTTTTGGAAACTTGAAATTTTGGAAGAACTTGCAATTGATTAAAAAGCTGTACCTGAAAGTGTGTATTATAAAAGGTATACAGCAAATTCCAAGGTTTTTCAAATTTAAATGTAAGCTCTTCAAAAAAGCTTGATGCTATCTCTCATTACTGTCAGTATCTTCAGAACATAGCAACTAATTTTTATTGATGTTTTTTTTTTTAGCAATTATAGTAGAGATGTCTTTGGAATTCGAAGAATTTGAAGAGAAAATGTTTCAGGCTGTTGAGAAAGAGTGTTAAAGACATGTTTGTTAGTTTTTCAGGATACCTTTGAAACACATGAGGAACATCCTTTAGTGATTGAAGAAGGTCTTTATGCTGGTACGGGAGATAAAAATCTCAAACTTTCACTGAAAAAAGGTTGGTATATTACTACATGTATCAGTGTTAAATTCATCTTTTTGTGACTGTTATTATTTAACCTGACTGTTAAAATGTTGAAGAGCATTCCACTTAGTTTGAACTGAGTGAACAATGTAAAATTATTCCATATATTTATGCACTTACAATATGTAAACAACAGAATAACAAAATCATAAATGTTTAGGAATAAGCTCTCAACCTTAAACTGCAGCATGGTAAGGCTGTTTTCATGGTATTTTTATGTCAGCTTTCCAATCCACAGTTGCCTCTGATAACTTTGTTCTGATATCGCAATTGAAGTTGCATCAGGAGTGCTGTCTGCCTTTCTTTTGTTCCGGGTGAAAGGGTTGTGTTCTTTGTAAATCAAAATACTGGTTACCTCTCTCTTTCCATAGAACTTAAAAGTGTATTGGTCACCTGTCAGGAAAACTTGACAAGGGACCTGCCTGTAGTGAACTGCATTCAGATTTCCTTCAAGGTCCCTTTCTAATAATTTCTTCGGCAGCAGTCCATGCTGATTAACGCTCTGTCTCATTCCCTTTCACTTTTACTGCCATATTGTAGATCCCATGCCGAAAGTCATGATTTACACATTTTAAGTCCCAATTTGGCCATCATGTCACCATAGTAGAGGTCCCAAGTTGGCTGTCATGTCACCATAGTAGAGGTTCCATGTTGGTGGTTATGTCGTCAAAGTCTAGGTCCCATGCTGGTATCCTTATTATCACAATGTAGTTCCCAAATTGGTAGTCGTGTCACCACAGTTTAGGACCCAAGCTGGTAGTCATGTCATCACAGTGTGAGTCCCATGCTGGAAGTCATGTCACCACAGTGCAACTTCCAGTCTGGGGGTATCGTTATCATACAGCAGGTCCCATGCTGGTAGTCATGTCACCATAGTATAGGTGCCCTACTGATAATCATGTCAACACAGTGTAAGTCCCATGCTGGTGGTCATTTCACCTCAGTGTAGGTCCCAAATTGATTTTCTTGTCACCACAGTGTAGATCCCACACTGGCATCCATGCCACTGCATTCTAGGTCCCATGCTTATAGTTGTGTAATCACACTGTAAGTCCAGTGCTGGTGGTCATACCACCATTTTAGTCCTGTTTGGTGTGCTGTTTGGATTATACTTCTGCAGCCGCACTAGTAGTGATTGCAAAGTTGTTGTGGTTATAGAGTCACCAACAGAAGCTGCACCAGCCCCCGGTGATTTAATTACCAGGAAATAATTTGGATTACTGAGGTTTCAAGGATATTGGTGTTTTGTGGTTAGGTGGTGTTACTGTGCCAGACACAAAAATTGTAATGTACATACCAACCTAGCTACTTACGTGCAATGTATCTGCATGCCCATCCTCCCACCTGCCTGCCTACTCTCGCATTCGCACACAAGTCCCCTTTACACACTCAAGTGGAAGGAAACATTTGCTAATGAATTGCTTCTCCTTTAGCAATCCAGATGTGTGTCATTTCTTATATTCATTTGTACAATTTACACTGGGTAGACTGGAATATAACTTTTCATGGTCGGAATGTCCAAATCCCAAAACTACTTTTCCCGTTTGAACTTTGCAGTCTAGATTGTGTGAACTGAAATAGAACTTTGCATTGATATTATGAGAACAAACGTCTGTTATGAGATTCCTTTCCCGATATCCAATAAATAGCTCCTTTGTCAGTTAAAAAGACTTCAAAAGATAAGAGATCCATGAACTTTTCCATTCGTATTTTCCAAGATACATTTTGAAAGGGTGTTTTACTAATTTTTCCAACTATTAATTTGTACGCTCAATAGACTTTCTTCTGGGGGTTATTTTCATGGCAACCGCCTCGGCGTCATTTACTTCTTCAAAAGAGACAACCAACTATGCTAGGCTGTGCCGCCTCCTGGTTGATGTTGGATCTCAGGTGCTCCGGTCCACCTTTGACAAAATACATCCACCAGCAACTCTACACAAAGTTTTGGGAAAAACCTCTGTGCACCACGCCACCTTGCATTCACTGTACAAAGGGAAGAAGAAGGTGTTGAATCCAACTCAATGGAGTAAACTGTATCCTGCTCATTCACCTGTGTCATCGGCGACTTTTGACATCACGCTCCTAACGGTGCTGCTCAGAAATATCTGTGGTTTGAGCCCTCCTGCTACTGGTTGGGATCGTCTTCCCCCAGCTGCAAATACAAGCATTGCAGATGACATCGCCAGAGTGAAGTATTACAGGAACACGGTATACGGCCATGCCTCTCAAGCCGCTGTGGACGACATAAGCTTCAGTTCTTATTGGCAGGAGATACGACAAGCTTTGGTGAGACTGGGAAAAGCTCATCTTCGGACAGATATAGATAATCTTGAGCACGACTGCATGGATCCGGATATCGAGGAGCACTATCGTGAACTGATGAAACAATGGAAGAAAGACGACGACAACATCAAGGAAAAGGTTGAAGAAATGGAAGGTAGGAAGACTTGGTTTCAATTCCTAGCATTAGCAGCAGGGCCCAATAAGGGCTGCCTGTGACGGAACCATTAGGTAATCGTTGATAAACCTGTCGTTGTTTTGTACCTTAAAAACACGCATCTGTGGTGTGTAGTGGTCAATTTACTTAATTGTTCCTTTTTTATTTTCAGCGAGCATTAGAGACTCTATGGAGAAGATCATAGTGCCTCTGAAAACCACTATAGAAAAAGACCTCAGAGACACAGCGGGGAAGATAGAGAGTGACATGAAAGAGATGCAGGAAAAGCTTGGTTGCTTATCGGCCTCAGTTGAGAAAAGTGCTAAAGAAGGTTAGTGGTTGGAAACAGCTATCGTTTTTTGTTCGTTGGAAACACGCAACTGCGGTGTGTACTGGTCGATTTACTCATAAACTCTTCTTTTTATTTTCAGCGAGCATTAGAGACTCTGTGGAGAAGATCATAGTGCCTCTGAAAACCACTATAGAAAAAGACCTGAGAGACTCAGCTGGGAAGATAGAAAGTGAAATGAAAGAGATGAAAGAAAAGCTTGGTTCCCTAACGGCCTCAGTTGAGAAAAGTGGGGAAAAAGGTTAGTGGTTGGAAACAGTTACACAGAGAAAAATGGCCATAACTGTCACTTCGTCACTGGCTCATTAGGCTTAACTTGCAGTTGTTGTTTGGGTCTTGAGCTCACTGCAACAGTGTTTCTTGAATTTAGGTATTTACTACTGCAAACGAGTATTACGTTAAACCTTGCTATTTTGATCATTCACTGATAAGCGTTGAGAGTGGTCGTCACTCGTTACAGAGTAATGGTTTAGAAAGAAGGAGTAATAATATTGTTACACCTCCACGATGGGATGACTATGAATCTGAGGTTTCTTACTCTGATCTCTTAACTGACTTTTTACGTTCCTTGAGAGGACACATGCACATGTCTGAAATTCAAGACGAAGAGGGCCATTGTCTGTTTAAAAGATGTCTTTCCTAAGCGTTCGACTATCTTCTCTGCCTAGACTGTGCCCACATAATGACCAGAAAAGGTCTTTTAAGATAACTTGGAATTCCTCCAAAGCCCCGGCAGTGCAAAAATGTATGTTCTGGGAGAATTACTGAACAACTCGTGAATCAATTTCATCAATTTCAACGTTCCTCAGCTGAGAACAGATTTTACCTTACTCACGTGAATGGCTAAAGACAAAACACTCCTACATCATTGAAACCTGGAGCATTAATTTACTTTCGTGTAGCATTGCAGAGAAGCAAAACAAGTAGAAAGAGACCAGAATGATGCCATGTGGCTTTAGCCATTCCTTTAACTTTTATTTTCATTCCTATCCTATCTAAGTTAGGTTATGCAAGCACAGTATTCTATCCCTTGCCGTTGTGTCAGGAAAGCGCTTACAAAGAGTCCAGATTGTATGCGCGGGTTATGTACTAGGTCGCTATGCGAAAGAAGCAGACTGCTTACAACTGGGCTGGCTACCGGTGATAGAGCGTAGAAGTTATCAGTTACTGCAGTGCGTATTGAAAGCACTATATTTTGACTATTGGCCACAGTACTTAAAACTCGAACAACACGTACCAGCAAGAAATCTACGGTGGTCCTGTGAAGTCAGATTAAAGGTGCCCATCGAAACTGGTACTTTTCAAGACAGCTCAGCAGCCATTTTCAATGCATTACCAAGTTATCTGCGGAACTGTACGGACTTTCGATCCTTTAAGAGTAATTTGACATCATATCTTTTTAATAACGCTGGAAAGAGATTAGAAACATGAATCTCAGGCCTTTTAGCTTGTTTATATTTTAATTCTTAATTAGAATGTGATTTATTGTAAAGATNTGCGAAAGAAGCAGACTGCCTACAGCTGGGCTGGCTACCGGTGATAGAGCGTAGAAGTTATCAATTACTGCAGTGCGTATTCAAAGCACTATATTTTGACTATTGGCCACAGTACTTAAAACTCGAACAACACGTACCAGCAAGAAATCTACACTTGTCCGGTGAAGTCAGATTAAAGGTGCCCATCGAAACTAGTACTTTTCAAGACAGCTCAGCAGCAATGCATTACCAAGTTATCTGCGGAACTGTACGGACTTTCGATCCTTTAAGAGTAATTTGACATCATATCTTTTTAATAACGCTGGAAAGAGATTAGAAACATGAATCTCAGGCCTTTTAGCTTGTTTATATTTTAATTCTTAATTAGAATGTGATTTATTGTAAACTATATGATATAGCCTAATTAGAATAGTATAGTAATTTTAGCATAGAAGAGCCAATTCATTTTTGAAATGCTAATAAACCTTTATTATTATTATTATTATTATTATTATTATTATTATTATTATTATTATTATGGCAGTATATACACATCCGGGTGCCGATCCTACTCACTCAGGCTAAGCGTTGGCCGTGGCTAGCCTAAGTCTTATTTACATACTAAAATTACATGCATTTGTTAATCTATTATAAAAGGAAAAAGTCAGATAAAATCAATAATCTAAATAAATAATGCATCATAAAAACCTCTATGAGTCCTAAAGTAGCTCGCTGGCGGGCATGTGCGAGATTTCTAAGCTAACTAAGAACCTTAAAGGTTCTGGCGATGTTCAGACTGGCGCTAAGGACAGCTTTCTGCAACTGACGAAGGACTTCTCTCCCTCTCTTTGCACCTAACAATTCTCTAACATTCCTTCCAACATTCTTAGAGTATCCCCCTAAGACATCTACAGTTAAGTTGACCTGACGTATCTCGAATCCAGGGTATTGCTGTTTAAGCTCCCAGCGTAGATCGGCGTACTTTTCTGTCTTTTCCTGGCCTTTCTGGTGACGGTTTTCTGTCCAAGGGCAGCTCATTTCTAGTAAAGGGATGATGTGGCTTCCTTTGTCTACAAACCTTGCATGTACTCTGTTAGCCCTTGCTTCTGTATTATACGCGTATACAGGGACATCCAAGTAAGCTGTAACTTGGTTGTTCTCGTACACTGGTTTTGGTTGTATTTGGGAGTACCAAGGAGGGGTCGTTTCTATAAGAAGATAGTCCTTAAGGAACTCAAAGAAAATTATCTTAAGTGCTGCATTGGGCCTCATAAGGTACTTTGTCTGGGCAAGTGCATTACAACTCGCAAGTACATGCGCCACAGACTCTTGAGCTTTTCCACACAATCTGCACGTGGTAGAGGTGATAAAAAGGCTGAGAGTTTTGCTTGAGTACACGGAGTTTTTAACTTAATTCAAAATGGCGTCTGCCGTTGACTAGAATGATCTACTTTTTACCCCATCCTTGACTAAAATATTCCCGTGTAGACCCTACAAACGAAACACTTGGAAAGAAACGGACTTAAAGTCTTGAATCGAGGATGACAACAGACCAACGATTCAAATGGAAATATTCTGTTGGATTGTACGCTAAAATCGTCAAGGTGGTTTTTCGTTCTTTTTGCACCTTTCTTGATAAAGAATAGGAAATAAAGTATTTTAAATTCCTACTTTTTACCCCACCCTTGATTAAAGTATACCCATGTAGACAGTACAAACGAATTACTTAGAAAGAAAAGGACTTGAGGTCTTGAAATCGAGGATGAAAGCAAACCAACAATCCAATCATCAGGATGGTTTTTCCTTCTTTTTGCTCCATTTCTGATCAAGAGTGGGAAATATTTTAGAAAGAGTTTGTCACATGGCGCGAGGGATTTTAATTCTTGTCTTCATGTTGATTTTCACGCATGTAATTGGTTGCCATTTGGCAATATGTTGCACACATTTGGCAACTACACATATGTGACAATATGTTACACACATTTGGCAATATTTTACACCTATTTGGCAGCCTACTTACCCATATTTTAGGTTTTACAGATTTAATTTAATTTGACCCCACCTTGTGACCTATTTCGCTCATGGGGCGTGAGTCCTTGTTTTTCATTTCCCTTACAGCTTCGGAACCTACTCAAGCGCGTCCCAGCAAACTTGCCCAAAAAAAACCTCCAGTTACGCCTCGCATGTAAAATCACCAATTTATAACATAATAAATTCCCAAGAAAACTCCAGTTAATGTTTCAATAGCGTCTAGCTTGAGAACAACTCCTTAATTGACTTGGTTGTTCTCGCAATCTGTTCAGGAGTTCATAATCTGATTTATCGTAGGCTTGGAAACTCCCGCCTTATTCATCAAAAAAAGTCTCTTTTACACTTGCTCTCAGTGTCATTGGGAGGCTCTTTGTAGACAGTGCCAGCTGAAAGAGACCTCATTGCCTGCCTAAAATCCCAATTTTAGATTTCAAAATACATTTGCTACATAAAGGAGGGGATACTTTCTGGCTTATTAATTTGTTATTTAAACATATGATCGATGTGCGGAATAGAATTTGGGTTAGTTATATTCGAGTAACGCACGAACTCTTGACCTCATTGTGAAAAATGCCAAAAACTCCAGAATCGTTGACTTAAATGAAGATGCATCAAACAAGCAAGCGATCGCTTAGTCTTATCAAGTCAAATAACTACTTTAGTGAAAGTCGTCTTAACAAAGTTTATCGTTCTGTGAGAGGGAATTTGAGAAAACAAAATTTCTATAGTGTTAAGAATCCTTCTGCGGAATTGAAGGCAGTAAAGGTAAATCAAACATCTTCATTTCGGATGGCAAATCGTATTGCGAAATTTGTATTCCAAATATTAGCTTTTTTCTTCTGGGCACCATTTTGATACTGATTGTAAAGAAAAATATTTAGGATGAGCCGTTATACATTTCAATCTGTAGAGGAGATGAAACAGTCATTGAAGCAAATCAGAGATGAAATGGACACCAAACTTACAAGAATGGAGACTGAAATGAAAGAGTTGAAAGAAAAGCTTGGTAAGCAGACAGTCTCAGCTGAGGAATGCAAAACTGGAGGTAAGTTTTCGAAATGCGTACCTATAAAAACAACAATTCAAATATAGTCATTGGTAAAAAGTTGCGGTCCTCCTCAGGCCGAAAAATGTGGACCCGATTTGCAAATTTCATGGAGTTAGCACGACCCTATGGGAATCTGGGAAGAGCCTGCGTCAGTTAAAAAAGGTGGACTGATTGTTAAATTTGGGAGGGACTGCTAGGGGGATGACAGCTTAATTTGGAATAAGAGGATCGTTGGCTTTTACAATCGTTGCTGCATATTCTAATTACATTCTGCAGACTAGATCCTCGAAGTCAACACAGTATCACTTTGTTTTGATTTAGGTTGTTTTGATCCAATTGAGCTAGTAGATGGAATTCGCCAATTGTACAAAACTCGCGAGGGATGGCTTTCACCGTTTCCATGGTGTGAAGAGTTTCAGTTTTATATGGGTGATATTTTTACANATATATTGCAGAGGCAATCAAAGTCAACAAGACTCTGACCAGTTTGAATTTGTCTCACAATCAGATTAGTGATTCCGGTGCAACATCTATTGCTGAGGCAATCAAAGTCAACAAGACTCTGACCGATTTGAATTTGATTAAGAATCGCATTAGTGATGCAGGTGCTACATCTATTGCTGAGGCAATTAAAGTTAACAAGGCTCTGACAAAAATTAAACTTGGCCAAGTATCGGCTTAGTGATGCAGGTACTACATCGAATGCTAAGGCAATCAAAGGTAATAAGACTCTGACTGCTATTAATCGCTCTGTTTGAACAGTATTTCAAATAGATATCTTAAGGATACGATAGTCCTTCACAAAAGATTTCAACGCGCTAAATGAGGTGTCAGTAATATGAAGTGTATATGAATGAAAAGTTTGGGAATGCACTACCTTTGTGTTGGCGATCATCACGGGGGATCACTCTCGTAAACTGAAGTCCCCGCTTTCTTTTCTTAGGCTCGTATCCAGTAAGTCCTCGGGCCAAAGTTTAAAGCAATCAGTGAAGTTTTCATAAAAAGTTGATAGATTTGCGTAAAAACAAGGGAGGATATTTTTGCTCGTGTTATGCGAACATTGTACGCATTTTGTTGACTGCAAGTTATGTTCACACGCCAAAAATTGGAAATGCCTCCCCCTCCCCACTTGACTGGGAGTGAGATAGCAGTCAGTCTTTTAAAGTGCCCCTTTTTTTCTCCTGTTGTTGACGACTAGTCCATCTCTGTACCCCTTGAAAGCCATGTGATCCCCCAAAAGTTGACGAATTGCTTTTCCTCAAGCGATGGATAATGACTGGTCGCCAAAACTGGAATGTCTCATTTGGAATATCTGAAGAAAGGAGACTGGGCAAGAAGGAAATGTAAGTGCGAAGAAAACAAAGTCTTTTTCGAGTCTCAAAATATATTGAGACTCGAAAAATGCTTACCCACAAGTTAACTCGGCAGTTTCCTAATGAGGGCCGTTTGATATGGCCGAAACGTCGATCGTTCGTCCATAATTTTCCAGTAGTTGAATTATTTTCTTTTTATCATATTCTCAATTGGATTACTGATACAATTCATAGCCATAAGTTAAGCTGTTCACTTTCCCCACACTCCTACCCTCCTCGAAGGAAACACAATGAAGAAAGCTGTCTTGGAAAGCCAGTTAGATTAAATCTTAATTTTGATTAAAACTGTTTCTTGCAATTAATAGATTTCAAAACTATCATTGACTCTGACAATTTTGAATACGCCTTTTTCTTGTTAACCTCATAACTGTAACGCCATCCCTGTCGTTTAGGTTACGTTACGCATCACGTGATGCTATTATCTACATAAGGGACCTATTTTTGAGCTCCTTATGCAGCAGAATGTTGGGAGCAAGAATTTTTCGTTCAGAACTCCAAGTTACC